AAAGCCTGGTCTGATTCGGAGAGACGGCATCCATCCCACTTTGGATGGTGCAGCTCTTCTTTCTAGGAATCTGGCCACATTTATTAGTCCTCCAAAACCCTGACCACCCAGGGTGCAGACCAGGAAGCAGAGTTGTAGTTTAACACACATCTCTGCAGCTTCTCTACTGTTACCCACTCTTTACTCCATCCAGACAGTGTCTTGCCCACGACCAAAATCTAATAAATTAGCAAATATTCCTAAAGGAGTAAATCATGATAATCTAATTAAAATAAAAATAACTCCAATTGGGGAAAAAGTTAAAACAATTAAATGCGGTCTGTTTAACATAAGATCTCTTTCCTCTAAAAGTCTGCTAGTTAATGACTTGATTTGTGATAATCACATTGACTTGTGTTGCCTTACAGAAACCTGGCTGCAGCAAGAGGATTATGTGAGCATAAATGAGGCAACTCCTTCAAGCTATTTAAATTTTCACATACCCAGAAGTTCTGGGCGAGGAGGAGGAGTAGCAGCAATCTTCCAGTCTGACTTACTGATTACTCCCAAAACAGTTAATACCTACAACTCTTTTGAACATTTAACCCTTAATTTCCCTGATCCAAATTTCAAGGCAAGAAAACCTCTTCTTTTTGTAACTTTGTATCGTCCACCAGGTCCTTACTCTGAATTTTTAGATGAGTTTTCAGAGTTCCTTTCTTATTTGGTATTAAAAACTGACAGGGTCATCATAGTGGGAGATTTTAACATCCATGCTGACATTGAAGGCGATAGCTTAAGAGCAGCCTTTAATGCTATCTTAGACACTATTGGCTTTGTTCAAAATGTGAATAGTCCCACACATTCTCATCTTCATACTTTGGATCTTGTGCTGACATACGGCATAGAATGTGAAGAAATAACAGTATTTCCTCACAACCCTGTCCTCTCTGACCACTTTCTAATAACCTTCAGGATTACTTTAACAGAGTTCTCCTCCCCCAAAAGAAGGTTACATTTTAGTAGATCTTTATCAGATAGTGCAGTTATAAATTTTAAAGAATCTGCTTCACTTTCTCTCTCCTCTTTGTCGCTGAGCAGTGCTGCAGAATGCAAAAGCATAGCTTATTCCCCTTCACAGGTTGATGATTTTGTTGATGGGGTTGCTAGTTCTCTGCGTGCTGCCTTAGACAATGCAGCTCCTTTGAAAATGAAAACCGTTAAAAATAGAAAGCTTGCTCCTTGGTTTAATGCAGAGCTGCGTACTTTGAAGCAAAATGCTAGGAAACTGGAGAGAAAATATCGCTCCACAGGCCTGCGGGAGTCCTTCCTAGTCTGGAAAAATGGTTTACTGCTGTATAAGAGGACCCTTTGTAAAGCAAGAGCAGCATACTTCTCCTCATTAATAGAGGAGAATAAGAATAATCCTAGATTTCTTTTTAATACAGTTGCCAAACTCACCCAGAGCCATAGCTCTGTTGAACCGTCCATTCCACCTGCTCTTAGCAGCAATGATTTTATGGGATTCTTTATAAATAAGATTGATCTTATTAAAAATAAGATCATAAGCACTCCTCTATCCGCGATTGTACCTGAGGTAGTCATGGAATCTGAACCGGGTTTAGACTGCTTTGATCCAGTTGAACTCTCTGAATTAGCAAAATTATTGTCTTCATCTAAGCCTTCAACTTGTATGTTAGATCCAGTTCCAACCAGGTTATTTAAGGAGGCATTCCCTTTGATCTCCTCCTCCATTTTAGATGTGATTAATTTATCTCTGTTTCAGGGATATGTACCTAAAGCTTTTAAGGTTGCTGTAATTAAACCTCTGCTTAAGAAACCGTCTCTTGACCCAGATGACTTGGTTAATTATAGACCTATATCCAATCTTCCTTTCTTATCCAAAATTCTTGAGAAAGTAGTTGCCAAGCAAGTTTGTGATCACTTACACCATAATGAACTTTTTGAAGAGTTTCAGTCTGGCTTTAGAGCTCATCATAGCACTGAAACAGCTCTGGTGAAAGTCACTAATGATATTCTCATGGCCTCAGATAATGGACTTGTATCTGTGCTCGTCCTGTTGGATCTTAGTGCTGCATTTGATACAGTTGACCATAATATTCTTTTAGAAAGACTTGAACATTTTGTTGGAATTAAAGGAACAGCATTAGACTGGTTTAAATCTTATCTATCTGATCGATTTCAGTTTGTTCATGTTAATGATAGATCTTCAACATGCTCAAAGGTTACCTGTGGAGTACCACAGGGATCAGTGCTAGGACCAATTCTATTTACTTTATACATGCTCCCAATTGGTAGAATTATTAGACAGCATGGGATTAATTTTCACTGTTATGCTGATGATACCCAGCTATATCTGTCTATAAATCCAGATGAAGCTAACCCATTACATAGATTACAGGCATGTCTTGAAGACATAAAAACCTGGATGACTCTTAACTTTCTGCTTCTGAATGCAGACAAAACAGAAGTTATAGTCTTTGGACCAGAGTCTTTGAAAAATAAGCTGATTAGTCAGTCACTTCATTTGGATGGGATTAAACTGATTTCAGATAATAAAGTAAAAAATCTTGGTGTTGTTTTTGATCAGGACCTGTCATTTAAATCCCATATCAAAGAGGTTTCTAGAATTTCCTTCTTTCATCTGAGGAACATTGCAAAAATTAGAAATCTCCTGTCCAGGGGTGATGCTGAGAAACTAGTCCATGCATTTGTTACTTCAAGGCTGGACTATTGTAATTCTTTACTATCAGGAAGTCCACAAACTGTAGTTAAGAGTCTTCAGCTGATCCAAAATGCTGCAGCCAGAGTTCTGATGAAAATTAAAAAGAGAGATCACATTTCTCCTATCCTGGCTTCTCTTCATTGGCTTCCTGCTAAATCAAGAATAGAATTTAAAATCCTCCTTCTCACATATAAAGCCTTAAATGGCCAAGCTCCATCTTATATCAGAGATCTGATTGTTCCTTATGTTCCTAACAGAGCACTTCGCTCTCAATCTGCAGGTTTATTAGTGGTTCCTAGAATTTCTAAAAGTAGAATGGGAGGCAGATCTTTTAGTTATCAGGCTCCTCTCCTGTGGAACCAACTACCAGTTTTAGTCCGTGAGGCAGACACCCTGTCTACTTTTAAGGCTAGGCTTAAAACTTTCCTTTTTGATAAAGCTTATAGTTAGAGTGGCTCAGGTTATCCTGAGCTATCTCTATAGTTATGCTGCTATAGGCTTAGACTGCTGGAGGACATAGGGACCCCCATTTCATCATTCTGCTTCATTCTCTTTCTATTCTCCTATTCTGCAGAATCTGTTAGTTCAATCTCTAACCTTCTGCTCTATCTGCTTTTCCTCAGAGTAGCTTTGCCTTGTCTGTTCCTGTTTGGCTGTGACGTCATCCTGGAAAGAAACATCAGCTGTGCTGTGACTGGGTGGATGTGCTTTCTTCGTCCTCTGACATGGGAGCTGGCTCGGAGCTCGTCTGCCTGGCTGTGTGTTTCCTGGACGGGGCCGCCTATTACAGCTGCTTTTGTGTCTCTGCTTCCGTCTTCTTGAACCCAGTCGGCCTCGGCAGATGGCCGCTCACACTGAGCCTGGTTCTGCTGGAGGTTTCTTCCTGTTTAAAGGGAGTTTTTCCTCTCCACTGTCGCTACAAGCATGCTTAGTGTGAGGGATTGTATTGAGTCAATGAGTCGATGCAATCAACTGGTTTTCCTTAGATGGAGAACTTTGTATCAATTTGACTTTATGATCTGGTTGAACTGTGAAGTGCCTTGAGATGACATGTGTTGTGAATTTGGCGCTATATAAATAAACTGAATTGAATTGAATTGAATTGAATTAATAGTTAGACCTCATAGATAGACATCATTCATAGACCTCATTGTTAGACCTCATAGTTAGACATCATTCATAGACCTCATAGTTAAACCTCATTGTTACATTTCATTGTTAGACCTCATAGATAGACATCATTAATAGACCTCATTGTTAGACATCATTCATAGACCTAATTGTTAGACCTCATAGTTAGACCTCATAGTTAGACCTCATTGTTAGACCTCATAGATAGACATCATTCATAGACGTCATCGTTAGACATCATTCATAGACCTCATAGATAGACCTTATTGTTAGACCTCATAGTCAGACATCATTCATAGACCTCATAGTTAGACCTCATAGTTAGACCTCATAGATAGACATCATTCATAGACCTCATAGTTAGACCTCATAGTTAGACCTCATAGTTAGACATCATTCATAGACGTCATCGTTAGACCTCATAGTTAGACCTCATTGTTACATTTCATTGTTAGACCTCATTGATAGACCTCATAGTTAGACCTCATAGATAGACATCATTCATAGACCTCATTGTTAGACCTCATAGTTAGACCTCATTGTTACATTTCATTGTTAGACCTCATAGATAGACATCATTCATAGACCTCATTGTTAGACCTCATAGTTAGACATCATTCATAGACCTCATAGTTAGACCTCATTGTTACATTTCATTGTTAGACCTCATTGATAGACCTCATTGTTAGACCTCATAGATAGACATCATTCATAGACCTCATAGTTAGACCTCATAGTTAGACCTCATTGTTACATTTCATTGTTAGACCTCATAGATAGACATCATTCATAGACCTCATTGTTAGACCTCATAGTTAGACATCATTCATAGACCTCATAGTTAGACCTCATTGTTACATTTCATTGTTAGACCTCATTGATAGACCTCATTGTTAGACCTCATAGATAGACATCATTCATAGACCTCATTGTTAGACATCATTCATAGACCTCATAGTTAGACCTCATAGTTGGACCTCATTGTTAGACCTCATGTAGAACCCAGCACCTTTTCTTCCACTGAGGCAGGGCTCGGCCTCCGACCAAACCTTCCCTTCTCCACGGCTGCCTTCCTGCTTCCGTCCCTTTCTGCATCAGTTTCTGATGATCTCTGAACTTCCTCCTGTCTCTCTCTCCTGCTCAGTACTGAAGACCGTCGCCTCGCTGCTGACCGTCGCCTATTGCGTCACCATGTACCACCGCTGCATGCGCTCCTTCCTACCAGACAAAAAGAAGCAGAGCATCATCTCTTCCATGGTCTACTTCGTGTGGAACCTGCTCCTCCTGTCGCCTCGCATCGTCGCCCTCGCCCTCTTCGCCTATGTGCTGCCCTGCTTCATCGTCGCCCACTTCCTCTGCTCCTGGCTGGTGCTGTTCTTCTGCGCCTGGCGTGCAAAGACGGACTTCATGGACAGCACAGGGGGGGAGCAGCTGTTCCGGGCCACCCTGGGCCTCATCTGGTACTTTAACTGGTTCAACGTGGGGACAGGGAAGACCAGGAAGTGGACCATAGCGTACCACGCCTACATCCTGGCTGATATCTCCCTCCTCTGTGGGCTGTGGTTCTGGAGGATGAGCGTGTATCCTCCTTACTCCCAGATCTCATGTTTCACGGCTTCCATCATCTACGGCGTTGTGGTTTTGGTTTATGCGGTCGGGTTGGTTTGTAAGGTGGTTTATTATCTGTACTTCCATCCAAATGTTGAAAGAAAGGAGGATCTGAAGGGCGAGGAAGATGAACTGGACTCCATTGTTGCACAGGAGAATGGGGGATTTCGGTCAGTGGTCCCGCAGGGTCACTGCAACAAGAGGATGCAGAAACTGGCTCAGAGCTTCTACGTCAAACCAGCTGCTGGTGTTGGAGCCTGAATCCTGCACAATCACAACCGTTCTGGTTCCTCCACAGAGACTGAGCTGCAGGAAGGGGGCGCTGTGCTCAAAGACCTGTTCTGATCCGAGCTGCTTCTTTGGTCCCCGACGTTCCAACTGGTCCTTCAATCCCTTCAATGAAAGGATCTAGAAATATAAAATGCCTCAGCGTTTCTCCAGAACTCTCCATTTGTTTCTGTCCAGCACAGGTTTTCCTTTCCTGAGGATCTGGAATCTGTTCAAAGCGTCTCTAGAACCTTCCAGATTCTCAGCAGGAGGTCCGGTCTCTTTCTTTGTTTCAGAATTAAGAACACTTGAACGCCTGAAGGGACCTCGAATCAGAACAACCAGGAATAAAGCATGGCGGCGCCGCCATCGTGATCAGAGTCTTCCAGCAAACTAAACTCTGGTGTCAAAACCTTCATTGATTGGTTCTGTCCAGTTCTATAGAAATGGTGCTGCTCAGGGTTCTGGTTCTGATGCTGTTTTGAACTTTCAGGTTCTGTTCTGCCGCAGTTATTCAGGAATTGATTTCTCTACCAGTCAGAGCGTGATACGGTTCCCCGATTGGTTCAGATAAGTTTGAAACTGTCCAGGTCTGCCTGGAAACTCTGAAGAGTCCGCAGGTTTCCAGGCAGTCAGAAACAGGAACATGAAATCAATCTGTTTTTATTATCTTAGAAAATGTTGAATAAATTCTTCTTGGTTCAGTTTGTGAGATAAATTTCTCTCCATACATGAAGTCGGATGTTCTGGAGTTCAGGTCTGGTTTTAGTCTTCGCTCAGACCCGTTCAGCCTCACAGGAACCGGTCATTAGAGACGCAGCCATCATATCTTTCTGGATGATCCTCCATCGGGGGAACCCTGCTCTAATTTATAGAATAATTATTTTTATTTATGTATTTAATTTTCCATTCATTTATATTCAGAAGGAAAGCCTGATGTCCTCTCTCCTCCATTAACCCAGATGATGCATCTCAGGGAGCTATGCATGAAATAAAACAACAAAATAGTTCTGATCTTTAATGATCTGAAAATGCGTTGATTCTGATCTTAGAATAATCAGATCTATTCTGAACTGAAGGGTGCTGACCTGTAGCGGGCCTTAAACTGATTCTAGATCAACCAGGAAATCCTAGAACTGAGAAGAACCTGGAACCGTTTTCTACTTGTTCTGTAGAACTCGGAGCTGCAGTGATGATGGTACCAAATGTTCCTGGTGCCTTAAAACGGCTTCACCGCTTTCACATCTGTAAGTTTTTATCCTAAATGTTTGTTTGGTGTATGTAGAATATTTTTATAGAAGCTGTTGGAAAATAAAATCTTTTTCAAACCATTTTTCGGGTCTTTTCTGCTCAACAAAACTCAACCTCAGAACCTGGTCATGTCAGCCAGTCTGGAGTCCGGCGCCGGATCGTAGAACCAGCAGGAGGAGAAAGGCTAACGAACCGCAGAGCGGACAGCAGAGGAGGGAAGGTTCGCCACATTATAGATCGCCAGGAGTCTAGTCCCCTTGTTAACATCTTTTAAAGGTTTAAATCCATCCATTCATTATCTGACATGCTTGTCCCAATCGGGGTAGCGAGGAGTGCTGGTGTCTACCTCCAGCTGTCAGTGGGCGAGAGACGGGGGTCCACCCTGGACAGGTCGCCAGTCCATCGCAGGGCAAAAACAGAGACAAACAGGACAAACAACCATTCAGACTCACACCTAAGGAGGATTTAGAGAAGCCACTTAACCTAACAGTCATGTTAGCAGCAGTGCTAACCCACTGTACAGTGTTGGGCTATAGTTACCAGTTACTTCTCCCAAAAAGTAACTGAGTTAGTAACTGAGTTACTCCACATTAAAAGTAACTATTTACTGGTAAAACTAACCATTGCGTTACTTTTACGAGTGTATGAAATTAATAACTGGGGATGTCTAATTCTGAAATCCTGTGTTTGGGTTTTTATAGATACTGCAACATGTAATGCTAATGCTAAGGCTAATGATCCTTCACGCTCTCCATAGTTCTCCTGTGGCGCGAGCACAGGGTGGCTGTTGCGCGCCTTTAGCGAGCATGCGCGTTTCCTGTCGCTTGCGCGGTGAATCGTGCCGCCGCGCTGTGCGGAGATGCAGAGGAAACCGAATCTGAGTAACGTGCAGTAACATTGCAGACACCCCGTTACTCACTGCCATTGTACCACTGAGCACCAAGGTTTAAATCTTAATTTCATTATCTATGACTGTGACAATATAGTTTGTAAAAAAGATTAAACTTATCTGAATAGCAGTATCGCTAAAACCACTCAGTCCAGACGGCGAATTCTGGAAACGGACACAGAATTAACTTTGCCGTTATTGGAAAGTTTTGTGGTTTATAAAGTGGTTGTAACAGTTTTCCAGCGTAATTAATCCTTGAATTCCCACAGTACATGAATGCAACATGGAAAGGGACACCTCTCAAAGCTACACGCTGTCAATCACGTTTCCCCGCCCACTCCCATCAGATGGGGATCAAAACCTGAAGGTGAAGAAAAATGATTTGAAAGTCTGGAAACCTAAAATCTTAAAACAGGAAACGCAGCTTGTTTCTACCAACCGCTGTTTGTCTTGTAAAGGACTGAATACCTGTCCAGGTGTGTTATTAACCAATCATGTCGCTGGTTTGGTCATCATGGATGTCTGAGCTGCAGCTCAGATTGAGGAATGTCAAACTCCTCAGATCTGACCTTTATGGCTGACAGACAAGAAGAGGAAGTCTTATTTTCTACAAGTCATTAGGAGATACAGCAAACAGCTGGAAGGAAGGAACTTTGACAAGAAGTAATATTTAATGTCTATAACACCTTTCACAGACAGTCAGTGACCTGAACCTGCTGAAGACGAGACGACTCCTTTTCTTTTAGACGAGAATAGACTGTTACTGTAGTCTAAAGAGGAAGACACGAAGGCGTAGATAATCATTTCAAGATCATCTCTGGACACAAACTGTTCTAAGTTTAGAGATTTTCCTCAGTTGGTAAAACAGTTAGTTTGGTGCTCTAATATGGAAGAAAAACTCTCATTGAAATCTGCCTTTTTTAACACAGAATTTTAAAACACTGAATTTTTTTAGACTCTAAATACTCTGAGGTCAATGTTCTGTCAAAGTTAACGCCTCGGGTTTCTAAGGCTTGGTTTAGCAGACAAACTCAAGTGGCCCAGATCCTGGAGGATACCTGGAATAACTTCCTGAGCAGCAATCACCAGCACCTCTGCTTTATCTGAGTTTAGTTGCAGGGAATTTACACCGAGCAATTGTTTACGTGCGCAAGCAGAGAGCCTAACTTCTGGATCTCAGAGGACTTCAAAGAGCAGGAAAGCTGGATATCATCAGCAAACAGATGATAGGAAACATCATCGGATCTCTGAATTTTATTTTTTTAAAATGGAAGGACTTACAGAAAAAACAAAATGGGCCCAAAAATCCCCAGAAGCCAATGATCAACTGGGGGGCAGCATCATGCTGGGGACAGGGCAGCTGGGGAGATGTGGGAAGATGGATGAAGAACAGTTTAAAGGGACACCAAAGACCTGAGGCTGTGGAGGAGGACTGGTTCTTTCCAGCAGCAATACCTCCATGAACATCCAGCAACATGAGCAAACAAAACAAATGTTCCAGGTGTTTTTAAAAGACGCTGGGAGAGAGTGAAGCTGTTAAACATCACATCTTTCAGAAGAGCTTAGATCAGATCTGGTTTCCTTTCCCCTGGTTTAGGCTCCGCCCCCTGTCTGAGAAAAACGGAACAATGATGTTAATGTTGAAAGATGTCTGGGTGTTTTTTTAGGAGGGGTTTGGGGAATTCCCACGGGGCTTTTCAGGAAATCACTTCATCCTAGTGTGACACAGCGTGGGGGTCAGAGCAGCTGACTGGATGTGGTCAGGATCAGGATGCTCAACGTCAGGGAGCTTCTCAGAAAGGGTTTCCCCTGGTCCCCTCTGCCTCCTGCGAACATATCCCTCTCACTTAGACCTGTTCATGTTTAAAGCTCAGAGGACATTTATTAGCCTTTTTTAAATCAGCCTGAATAGAACTGCTGATGGAAGGAAACAAGAAATCATTTTAAAGGATCTTCAGGCTCAGAGACGCTTTCATCTGTTTTCTAGTTTGACCCATGAAGAATCTCCACAACTGCAAGGTCTGACAGACAAGTTGAGCCTAAAACAGCCTGAGCGTCAAATAGTTCAACTGCGCCACCTGCTGACATAAATCTGCAAAGCGCCTTCCTGCCAATAATCCACCTAAATATGAAACCATTTTAATCTCCCTCTTCTTTTCTAAAAAACTCTAGATCTACGGTTGGATCTATGAGATGCTATTTAACCCTTTAATAGCCACTTAGTGAAATACTTTGAAAATCATAATTTCCAGCCAATAGTGTTATTGGAATCCAGGAAAGGACGTCATTACCTTTGGAACATTAAACAAATATAGATGTTTTGATGCCAGAAATAAATGTCAATGTAATAACAAGAGACTTGCCTCAATATATTAAGAAAAACAACAAAAGTGCTTCTATAAGAGTTTTTTTTTAAACCTTTATTTAACCAGGAAAAACATCCCATTGAGATCAAATCCTCTTTTTCCAGGGAGTCGTGGCCAAGAGGCAGCAAAGTTACTTAATAAACAGAGATACGTTAAATTAAATGACAGGTACATAAAAAACATGAAGTAAAACAGAAGATCATTGAGGCTGCTTCAAATTCTCTCACTTTCAACTTAAAAGCTTTTAAAGATAAAAACTCAGTCAACTTCCAGTTTCTCTGTAAAATCTTCCCCCAGAAGGAGCAGCGGAGCTGAAGGTTTCCTCCCCCAGTTCTGTTCGGGCAAAAGCAGCAGAGAGCAGCAGCTGATGGTGGATCTCAGGCAGAAGAAGCCGCGCTTTACTGGGGAAGGAAGGTAGAAAACGTTAGAGGGCAGTAATCCATGGAGGGCCTCGGAAATAAAAGCAATGACACAGCCTTCTGGTAGAG